AAGTGGCTGTGGGGTGCGATCCACCCCAAACCTGTAAACTTGAAAGATTTTCTAAAAGTAGTGATAAAATAAAAACTCAAATCCTAAGAACGCCAAAAACGATAGAAAAGACTCGAGCTCCCAGGCCAAAATATTGAAAGAAAAAAAACTTATGGACATTGAAACTGGCTGTGGGGTGCGATCCACCCCAGACCTGTAAATTAGGGTTAAGACTCTTTCCAAAAAAGAGTGCAACTTACACGGATTACGAAAGAGCATGTAGCATGAAATAAATGCTACACTCTTTCTAAATTGTCGCAATCTTGACTACATTTTTTAACCGATGGTTTTTGCACATTTGCTGCCTTGTAAAGACCCCACGTTAGTAAAATCTTAGGTCTTTATTTGGAGCTACGTTTTAATGTCCACTAATATTCTTGAAAGCTGAAATGTTTTTTTTTTATTCGTTACCTCACCTCATCAAAGTATTGTGCTTATCCGATTCATATCAATGTTCAACACTTGTGTGTCTTTCGCGTTGGAGAAATTTAAAATTTTCTTTTGGGGATCCCGATCTGTTCTTTAGATCCTAATTCATAGTTTTGTGTTGATTTATGTATCCAACCCTAAACTAAAAGACAACCTACTTATAATAAACAGTTCTTCTAGAAGACTGCCTTTCCGTCCCATGGTCGTTGGTCTACTGGCGTGAAGTTGGCAGGTCCCAATAAGTCAAGTTTAATTTTGAGGTGGTTTGGTACCTTTTTGACGCGGATCCCTTGCAGCACTAACGTTCGCATGTGAAGCACTAACGAGCACTAACGAGCCGCTTCAAATTTGCATTAGGACTGAGCCAATTTGACAAATGTGGGTCAGCTGCATGAAGTTAGCAGACCCCTTTTTACGACGTTTTGAGCTGTTGCACTTTGAGCACTAACGTTTATATTGGCGGCCCTAACGAGCACTAACGCTGCTAGTTTAACTAGTGCAAAGATTGAATCGATTTTCTCAAATGGGTCTGCTGGCATGAAGTTAGCAGGCCCACAAATATTTTTTAAAAATAGTAAGTTTCCTTTTATGCACTAACGATTTCTTCAGCGGCACTAACGTGCACTAACGGAGCACTAACGATATGAGTAAGTAGAACTATGGTCTGCTGTAGTAGGCCTGCCAAGTTCATGGACATTCGCCGTAACCCACAAAAGAAATTACCGCTACCGTTAAACCCAAATAAATCATTCATTGAAACTGATATCTTTTCTAGACTAAAATGCTGCTTCAAAAGTATCGTATATAATCCGCTATTTATTTTTGTTCTGTTCGGAAACCCAGGTCTTAGTTATACCTCACGCATAAACAAAATATGCCCTTTATTTAATTAATGTATTATAATTAGGTCGCGTTTTTCTTTACTTTTGTTTGTGTTTACTAATAATTCATTTATTGTCTACACTCAGTTTGCTACCTTACTCCAGGTTGAACGGGTAACCACTCAAACAAGTAACAACTACTTGAAAAAACAGTTCTACCACGTTAAGGTGCTAAAAGTTATATAAGCTTATTTAAAAAAAGAGCGACTAGTGACAACTACACTTTTTACTTTGCGAAGATGTCGGTGCTTGTAGTAAGTACAAGAAGACGACAATTACAAATTAACCAATTAAGCGGATTATTTGCAAACACGTTCAGAATTAAGAGACTCTCTTAAATCTAAAATTACAATTAGAACCACCTCTCACTATTTTAATTTGATGCACCACCCCGTTACAACTCGCTTATGTAGATAGATATGATCATATTTTTCCTCCAAACTAGTTACGCGCCTAGTTCATCTTATGAGAAATACATCCTTTGTTTAACCCCTATCAGTAGGTAACACTTGTTGCAAATTTCATCAGTAAAACTTTATAATTCAAGTAGTTTCAGTAGGTAACTAAATTACAGAAAATTGTACAATAGATGACTAATAGACTGGTTCACTTTTCGAAGATTCTCTGTCCTAGGGGCATTTCAGACAACATTTGGCCAAATAGGCTTTTTTTACTAATTGGTACCTGCTGAACACGAATATCGATGTTGGCACCTCGAAATCTTAACAGGAAGTCCAGAATTCAAGATGGCGGCCAATTTCCGAAAATGTTGATATTTTCACTCATGCGACCGATTTTTTCGATCTAAAAACGGATTATAATGTTTTTCCTGACGAAGGTACGGCACGATAATAATCGTGACCAAATGTTTAAACAATGATTTCATAGTTTTTCTAACCTGAAAGTGCGTAAAAGTGGAAACCTTTTTTTCATAGTACTATGGCTACTGTTTAAATTTCTTCACATCGTGTAAGTATTAAATTATTTCTGTTTTGGCAAGCATTTTGGTTCCTGTGCGTCGTGTGATTGCTGGAGGCTTCAATGATTAAAGAAACGTTTTCTGATAACCGTCAGACGACACAGATTTCCTCCTTAGAAACGACCCATTTTTTCGATCTAAAAACAGATTATAATGTTATTCCTGAGGTACTTTACGATAATAATAGTTAACTATTGTTTTAACAATAATGTAATAGGAGGATGCAGGATGCGTAAAATTAAGAATTACGAAATTCCCAGTTCCCCTTGCTAAAAGGAGGACTTGCAAAACGATTGTTTCCAGTAATCCTGACACATATAAGTATTCTCGACATGCATTTATATTGCATAATTCTCCTTATAAAGTTTTGATAACTACAATCTTTCGAATTTTACGTTAATTTTTAAATGAAAAAAATGAAAGTTCAACTATACTGCGGTGTTTCGGAAGATTCTGATTTTGCTGGTATTAATTACCGTTCCTCAGGATATATTATTATTATTAAAGGATGAAAGCATATAGAAACGTGAATACAAATTTATTACCTTCGTTATTCTCATGGTGTTAGGTCAATCGTCTTCTTGACAATTAGATAGTACAAATCAATTGAGCTTTGCGATATTTTTACAAAGTTTTGACGAGCAATCCTATTTACAACGACAAAGGACGATATCTAGAGCAGCCTTCGGAATTAATCTAACGTTGGGAGAATGGGAATGTAGCTACTCGTATTTTCAATTCAGGATAGATAAGGTAGTCTGAACGACATTGCATAGTTTATAAGATAAAAAAAGTACATCTTGAGATTTACACCTGATATGCCGTAATGATAGAAATGGATGAAATGCTAGAGAAGATTAGATGGAATCCCAAGAGAATGGAGTGCAGAATTGTTAGATCTAAAGCTTCGCAGCTCCTGAAACCTCGAAGTGATGAAGAATTAACAGGAATGCATCTGTATCTGTAGCGTTTTTCTTGTATCCGCTTCCTTGATGTGAAAAGCTTCTAAAGAGGAAATCTGTGTCGTCTGAGGGTTACAGAAAACTTTTCTTTCATCATTGAAGACTCTCGCAATCACCAGTACGCCGTCAAATGAGGCCTCTTCAAGGTGATGCGACAAGATTTCTTTTGTTTTCCTCTAATAAAAGGAAATTCTTCCATATGTGTGGTCATGGACCATCGCGGATATCTTTCACACGACGCACAGGAACTAAAATGCTTGCCAAAACAGAAATAATTTAATAATTACACGATGTGAAGAAATTTAAACAAGCCATAGTATACTATGAAAAAAAGGAATCCACTTTTACGCACTTTGACGTTAAGCCTAATTTACATTTGGCAAGTTTACTGGCGGAAAGTACTGTCGGTCAGTAAACTTGTCACGTGTAAATGCGCGGAAAGTGCCAGTTAAATAGAAATAGGGTAGCAAGTTTACTATGAAATCATTGTTTAAACATTTGTTCACTATTATTATCGTGCCATACCTCCGTCAGGAATAACATTATAATCCGTTTTTAGATCGAAAAAATCGGTCGCATGAGTGAAAATATCAACATTTTCGAAAATTGGCCGCCATCTTGAATTCTGGACTTCCTGTTCAGATTTCGAGGTGCCAACATCGATATTCGTGTTCAGCAGGTGCAAATTAGTAAAAAACGCCTATTTGGCCAAATGTTGTCTGAAATGCCCCTAGAACCCGTTAAAACGCCGTTTTTTATAAAAGTGAACCAGTCTATAAAGGAATTCCATGTTGGATATTGTTGGATAATCGATACAAAATTCCTTCAGAAAGTTTCTATTATAATTATACACCTACAAAAGCAAATAATCTAAGAAGTGGTAATGTTTAATTTGCACGTCTTTACCACAACAAACAGTATTTGCTAACAAACAACCAAATATTACAATCTTGAATAAATGGAAGGTAAAACGCACAATTATGTTCTGGATCTGCAACTGAGCTTCAAATTGTCTGTAGTGGTCGTACGCGCACTTCCTTTTTTGACCCTTTCATTAAATGCTCTAATTTCCAGCTTAAACGTCCGATTTTCTCGTAATTGCGCCAAATAAAAGCTACAATATCCTCGCTACAATATAATTGTTATTAATTTTATTGTTAAGCGTCGTGCTTCGGTTTGAATATTAATTTCTTCGGTCGCACAATAAGTAAACTTGACAATGGCACGGCGAAATAAATAATAGGCATTCTAAATTTGAAAAGGAAAGGTCAACGTTTTCCCTACTTTATCCTTTTCAAAGTAACGAAGTTAATCTTGCTGAATAATCTGTTTTGTCATACGTTTTCACTCGAAAAAGGTTCGATTACACCTCTAAATTGATACGAAATCGAAAATATATCTAGCATTTCGCGATGTACCTACTGTGAGACTTTGGGGTCGAAATAAATATCAACTGGGTCTATTTTATGCAGGATTCTTTCATCTAGCTTAACTCGGGTACAAAGCATATGGTCAAAGGTTTCTATGAATGTGAAAATCGGAATAGAGAGGTAGATATCGAATCTTCTTTTATGCAGAGAGCTTGTGAATTTGAAATGTTTGGGTATATACTAGCATTATGTGGCGACAAACGACATATCAAATTTTCTGTGAATAAATTTTACGAAATTTGGAAACCGGAAGTTTTAATTACATCCTCTTTTGTTACAGTTATGTTATGGGGCGAGTTCTCCAGCACTATCCGACCGTAATCGTTTTCCCACTTTATTTCGTACGCATCCATCAGCAACTGTACATAACCCGACTCGCATAAAATTAATGAGGAAGTTTAATTGGTACCGAGTGGCGATCTTGCAAGAAGCCGAGGAGGTGTTTATATCGACCGTTGAAGATCTGGAATCGCGTTGTATGGAAGCTGGTATAGAAATAGTGACACGGCAGTCGTTCCTTTCCGATCCAACGGATGCAGTTCGTAATTTGAGGAGGCAGGATGCTAGAGTTGTTGTTGGTCTGTTCTACGTTGTGGCAGCGAGGAGGGTTCTTTGCGAGATTTACAAGCAGCAGTTGTATGGAAGATCAAACGTGTGGTTCTTTATCGGTAAGTACGAAAATGAACTAAAGAGTATAGACTATGCGCAACGTAAACCAGAAAACCGCTCTCAAAATTCTGTCTCTCAAAACGAAAAGGTAAAATGTGGAAAGCCTATTACTAGCTGACTGCATATGCTTACTAGGCATCCTTTTTTATACCTGTGCAAAGTTATATTTGGTCGCTTGTGATAAGAGTACAACTACTACTTTTATCCTCCGTAAGCATGTGTAACTGTTGAGTTTAATGATGGTAGGATATTGGTCCCTGAAAATTCAATTCGCCCCTAATGAAAACTTGTCTCCAGATAAATTCACCCCCGGAAGAATGTTAATCCTGTAAAATTTGCCTTCCTCTCTTCCAGTAGATTCGTTCTCGGAAGAATGATCACGGCAAATGTTTCCCCAACAAAATAGTAAGCATATTCCGGTACTAGAAAAAAATGCATTCAAAAAGGTTTGGGTCCTCACGATTTTGGGACAAATTTATCTCTTATGGTTTCCCAATGAAATTGGTGGCATACCTACATAGGAAATTTCACTTTTGTGCAGATAATGTGCAGTAAATAGACGAATTATGGGGAGGGGGATCTTTACACGTAAACATTTAAAGGTTGCCTGGCATACAATCAAAATCTACGCTATATAATAAAACAAGAATCAAGCCCATTCTCCGGAACCTTGCATTTTCCCTTTGTCCTGCAACATTTTCAAAATATTCACAATGTAGTTTTCACATCACCTGTATATGTGTCCAGTCCAGAGGATTAATTTGGCTTTGTGAGTAATCTCCTCCGACAAACCGTTTTCGAGTAAAGTTTTGACATCACCAATGGATATATTTCTTTCAGACGTCCCAATTGCCCTTTGTAAGTACTTCCTCCGACAATCCGCTCTTGAGATTGCAGTGAAGTTTTACAAGGAAAAGGGGATTGGCCATGGCTAACCAGGGGAAACGTGTCTTCCAGTAAAACATCCGCCGAAGTTTGACAAAAATCATATAATTTAAAAATAAAATAAGAATACCCAGCTTAGTGAATCCTCAGGTACTCGCGGGTATAAAAAAATCTCGTCTTGGCAATGAACAGTACATATTACTATGATCCTTTAACTTCGGGTCGCATAAAAAGTAAATGCAACGCCCCGCACGTTTAGCGAAAAAATAAAAATGATGTGTGCAATGGCACGGCCAAAATGAACCATACACAAGACACTTTAATCTTAGCTAGCTGTCTTATCAAATCTCTCTCAGCACACATCCAAATCCCGACACAATAAAATTTTTTTAAATTTCTGATTCTAAAGCAAGCAATTTTTAATTTCAAAAGGATCCTTTACCATATTTTGAAGACAACAAGATCAACAAAATTAATCATAATTAAGTATGGTACATCTATTTGGATCGTTAAAGGGATCGAATAAACACACGATTTACATGATTTCACAACGAACAAATTTTATTCTACACAAACAAATGAAAGTAAACATTAAAATCCTAATTATCAAAATTTAGCTACAACAGTGGCTGTACCAGAAACTGTACGAACTGGCGCCAAATTTTAACACAATTTCAAAGGACAGCAACTCGGTCTCAAAATTGGCAAAAAAACCCTTCTAACGAACCGCATCTCGGTCTTGAAATTGGCAAATGGCTTCTTCTAACGAACCGTAACTCGACCTCGAAATTGGTAAAAAGCTCCTTTTTTAATGCTAACTCCAGTATTTAACTTTTCTTCCCTCTTTAAATAAAACGAATTTTCTTATCCAATTATTGGAGCGTGGCAACTCGACAACCCAATCAATGCTTCACTGTAGGACGCTCTATTCAGTAACGTAGGCAGATTTTACGCAGAATTATCTTATCTAAAATACACAATTTTTATCGAAAACAAACAATTTTTTTTAGATAATAATTCATCCTCATCTCTAGATAATTACATCAACCTTTTATAAAAATAAACGAAGTGCACAATTAATCAAATCTGAACTGCCACATAAAGGAACAAAACAAAAATGATAACGAAAATGAGAGATAAAATCTCTATCCTCAACAATTCTAGAAAATAATCTTTTTCAACGAAACAAATAAACAAATAGCTTGGACTCAAGCTAGATACGCAATAATCGTTTTGTGTTTATCCGAAAAGAATCCCACCAGATTAATTAAATGAGTTGAAGTGAAAATTTGATTAGTAAATTAACGACCCGTATTTACGTCAGGCGACTGGACCTAAACGAAAACTTTCACATCGACATTTTTTCAACAGCAATATACACAAATGCTATTTAATTGTATAAAACAGTAAATAAACTGGCAAGACAGGTGGCAATCTTCGATTCGAAAGTGTAATACAACCACTCCAATGCTTCTACCGTAACAAAAAATTCATCCAAAAAATTACTATACCAACATCAGCCTAAAATCCAATTAATTCAATCTTACGTCAAAGAGTTACTAATCATTTACGTACCCCTTTAATAAATGGGTTTCGGATTGCGATATAGATAGAAGAAAGTAATTGAATTAAGACATATGACATAACCTGAAAAGGTTATTTTGATAAGGGAGGGCGGTAGTTGGTAGAAGACGGTTCCATTTGTTAAGACTCCTTAAGATAAAATTTGATGGACGTCTGGCTTGGTGTCATTGGGGAAATGTTTTTGGTTTTCTCTATCCCCCTATGACCCAATTTTTTTGCCTAAGGTAGGTACGTAATTGAATGATTTTTATCAGCAACATATAACAAAATTGTCTTATAAGAAGAACGTTACGGGTACAATCATTTCAGTCGTCGCTTGAAATACCCCGTGGTTATATCCTTAGAATTGAAATTTATTATAACTTTATTACTTAAAATGGCCAATTCGTGACTACTACCTACCATTATTGCTTAAGCTTTCATATAAAATTAATTTATTTTAGTGACTTCTCTATACAAGAGAATCATCTAAAAGGTTTTCATAACGTAGAAGTAGCTGCGAGAGCAAACTGAAAATACCACACTAATTTTCGCAAAGCGAATTAGTTAGATACTTATAGCGAAGTGAAAAGGTAAAAAAAAAGTCACAAAACTCCCTCTCCAGTAATCTCCAACGTGGTAGCGTCATTTGCTCTATGAAGTCGCGCCGCCATTTAATGAATTTTTCATTAATTTTCACTCGTCATTTAGCACACGTTAACTCGGTTTTTACATTAGGGACTTAATTATTAACGTCGCGTATAAACACCTCATCATTTTCGCCATAGAAATAAAAGTTTATAATTTGAAAGTTTTTGCGATTGATTATGGGCGGGCGCTAGTACAAAAAAGAAGTTTGGTAATAATTAAAGTGCAAAAAGTTCTTCGAGAAAAACTCATTAAAAAGTAGAACAAAGTCGTTAAGAGGGTATCCTCTCTCTTAACTTTAGAATGCTATTAATTTTAAATTGGAGTTGAGTAGTAGTGCCGTGTCTTAAATATTTCTGCTTCTTCTTTTATAGGTTGGTACGAGGACGATTGGTTTGTGAACAATTTAGAAAAGGAAGGTATCGAGTGTACGGCCGATCAAATGAGGGAGGCGGCGGAAGGACATTTAACAACCGAAGCGTTAATGTGGAATCAGAATTTAAATGAACGCACGATATCGGGAATGACCTCGGAGGAATTTCGCGTTCGTTTGAATGATGCTCTGCGAGAAGAGGGATATGATATTGATAATAAACGATACCCCGAGGGATACCAGGAGGCCCCACTTGCATACGATGCCGTTTGGTCCGTCGCTTTAGGTAAATATGGAATTTTTGCACTGAATTTATTTGCTTAAGGTTCGCCTTTTTAAAGACGACCCCTTTAGGAGTACGTTATTTGACGCTTTGCGCCCTTTTCATTTATTGTACACCTAGTTTGTGTAAAAGCTCAAATACTGGGGGAAACAAAATGGACGTCTTACTGCCGTACAGAGCCGGTGGGAATCTTTGGTGTACACCGTACAGAACACTGTTTCAACATTCTAGCCTACAGAACACGTACCTACCCTACTTACTTCGGTAAGGAATCTGCTGGTGATAAAATGTATTTATCTAATGGTGATCATAGATGACAAACACAGCATCATTTGAATATTACCTATATAATTTGAATTCAGCAACAGAATGTAGAAAGAATTAGACGTATAGAGATATAGAGAATTATAGATTAACTTTGCGAACATAATGTAATACTTTTTAGGGACTAGCAGATTTTACAATAATTACTTAAACATGTTTGATACGGTATGCTGATTTTGATTCAATTTAAAAGACTGACGGAACGATTTAAAGCGTTGAATAAAAAAATTGCCATTATATAAAGGGACGGATCATAAGTTACGAATCAATTGTCCTATAGAGTGATTTGCATTTATTTGCAGCAAAAAGCAGTACCGAGTACCTAAACTGTATCGTAATTGGATGGCAGGGCATTGATGAACGGTAGGCACATTATGCCTTATTTTAAATAAGGTCAGCCCTTAGTAATTTTCTCCATAAATCCATTCCAGCCTGGAATGTTCATACGCCCTCGACATTTGCCATATGCCCATATAAAGTCAGTGGCTAAAGGCTTTATTTTAAGGCTATAGTCAATTTTTCGTCAAGGTCGATATCATAGGCCCGGCTTAGCTTTCTTTTGAAAAGCAGCAATGGCCATTGTCATAAATTCCCCTAAGGTTTTTGCACCAGGGATCTCTTTTACTCCTTTCATGATGGTTCCTGCAATTTTCAAAGGTTTAGGTGTCGTGTACTGGATACCTCCCATCGCGTGGAAGTTATAGGTTCCATCTAGAGTGTCAATGTTTATGTCAGCATTGTCAAAGACAAACTGTATGTAGGTACAACAAAATCCAGTCGCGGAAGCAATCTCCAAGAGATTCCTAGAGCCATATTTTCGATGTATCAGTGTCCGCCAACATGCTACGCTGTTCGAAAAGATTTTGGTTGTATAGCAACAATAATTGCGTGGGCGATAGATGTTATTTTCGTATTGACTTTATCGTTATCTTGGCTCTTATTAGGAACAATTCGAGTGATTCTGGTACGTCTCCTTCAAGATGATCCAAAGAATTGTTGGGTGCAGGATAGGAGGTGTATATCCTTGAACGAATGTCCTCACGGATTAAGGCAGCCGCTGCTTTTACTACACGAAGCTTCTCATCCTCTTCATCAGCCGATTTCGACCCGTAGAAATGTTTCATACAGAACCTTGTAACCTGTGTTTTTGAAACATATGATACTGGGACTAAATCTGTTCTTCCCAATTGTAACTATTATATTGTCTCCATAAACACTATCAAGTCTTTTCTTGAGAATGAGGTTTTTTGGAGTTGGTCCACCGTAATCGTTGAGAATATCACTCAATACAAACTGCCACTGATCTTTATTATCTTCAAGGTATTTGCATATGTAATCCATTGCAGCCGCGACTTCTTCATCTTCTGGGCGGCCTCGATTTGTGACTACCCATTCTCCGAAATAATTTTTACAGGATAATCCATGATGCCTTCCTTCAGACACCACAGATCAGTCTCATTTCGAATTCGAAAAATTACAGCTTTACTCCATTCCTCATTTTTTCATGTTGTTTTAGCTGCATCGATAACATTTTGCTTGAAATCTAGTTTAGTCACTTCATGAACTTTTTTCGTGTCGTGAGTCTTATAAATTCATCGGGGGCATCTTTTCCACAAAAAACAGTGTTTATTGAAATCAAACAATGGTTCATTCGGTCTACTAGAGACCTGTATAGCTAACGCGGCATCAATGTACGACATTAGAAAAATGTTTTAATTTTTTTCGAGCCCAAGCTAGTTTGGTTGTAGAAGCCTCTCATCCAGTTCAAAAGCGATATTTAGAAGAGGGGAAGGAGTCAGGTTGCTCCGTTCGTTTCGTTTTAAGTTATCAAGAAAAGCTGTTCTCAAGTTGAATTAGTTTGTCAAGTTTTAAGTTTCGGTTTTTCGTTTTTGCGATGTTCGAGAAATGCGGTTATGTAAACATTTGGAGCTAGTTTATTGAACGGCTATTTCGAGTAGATGGGGGCTACGTTTTGCCAAGTATAAGGATGAATTTTACCGAGAAGGGAAGGAAACGAGTTCATCAGGTTTGAGTTGTTTTAATTGGTGATTTAGTGTACGAATTTAGACATAGGTATGTGCCTCGAAAAAGAAAACTGTGAGTAATTTTAAATTCTACGTGGTATTTAATTGTTGTGTTGTTTTGAAAACTCATGTCCATTGTAACGGGACAAGGATGGTTGCTTTTCTTTTCATTATCTTGTGTGTGTGAAATAAAATTTGTCATTGTTATTTCAGGCTAGTTATGTGTTAAATCGGACCCTTTTTTTTAACGACGAACAGAAAAGTTTCATGTTTAAATTACAATTAATTTTATTTGATTCTCGCCCATAGTTCATTTTAAGTGTTGGTCAAAATTTAAGAACGGTCCCTTCAGAAATTAAAGATTTTGCTTGCCCACTGTCTGCCGTGAAGTAAAAAAATTCGTTAGCCGCTTGTAAGCAAGAGACGAAGAGTGCAAATTCAAATTTATCTTTTTGATTTTAATAGCCCTTATGGACATTTCATGCCCAATCGAGAATGGCACAAAAGTGCACTTTATAATTTTTGAAAGTGAAAGTGCACTAAAAAAAGTGAAAGGTCAGAATTAAATCACTTTTCTGTATGAGGGTGAGAATCTGTATCGGGAAAAAGTTAGGTTTAAAGAGTGTTGTGTATGGTTCTTTTTAGCGTGGGATAAGTATACATTCGATATTTACCGAGAGTATACTATACCTATTCCATACAGTACGTTAGAACAATTTCTTCTAATATTGGCGTTATGGGCAGGGGCACCGTCTTGCTGGAAAAACATATGACAATTGACAATCAGTGGCAGTTCCTCAAAATATGCGGCTTGATCATTAGCGAGAAAATAGATATAACTCTCAGTTTTGCAACATCATTTGGTTCTAAACTAAGTTAATAAGACGTAACGTAGCTTATAAAGACTTAATTTATGCTCAAAAACTTGTTACGTGGAAGTTTCACGAATTTCGAATACGACGATTATCTTTTACGTTTAGTGAATGTTCGGTTTTTCGTAAGCGTGTTGCTCCAATTTTCCGAACTTATGACGATTAGGTGCAATTCTATCGAGGAAAACTATTAAGTAATAATATCGTCTCATTTGAAATGTGATCCACTATTCCCTTCTAAACATAATACTATGTGTTACAATTTCAAAAAAGCAGACATCCCCGAATTATATTTTTTCCTATCAAGCATTGATTGGTCTTTCCTTCAGAATTATGAAGACGTAAATTTAGCATGTGGAGAACTTTATAATGTGCTATCTGATGCATTTAATAGGGTCGTTCCGCGATATAAACTAACCAAACGGCGTTATCCAAAATGGTTTACTTCTGAAATTATTCATAATATACGTGAAAAATACAAACACTTCAAAATAATGAAAATAAATAATTCGGAAAGTGCTTTAAATGAATTTAAAAGATTAAGGAAGCAAATAAAATTGCAAATCAATAGCGCCTATAAACAATACATTTCAAATGTGGAAAGCTCTATCATGGTGGACCCTAAACTCATCTGGTCATTTATCAGATCCAAAAAACGAACATCAAGAATACCCTGCAACATATCTCATGGAAGTAATACATACTCATCTCCTCAAAAGATTGTTAATGTTTTTATGCAATACTTTTCTTCAGTTTATCGCCCACATACTAATGTGCAGCTTTCAGCAATCCGTCACCCTTTCCACGGAGGTTGCATTCACCTTTCTCAGGTCACCGAATCCATGGTACTTGATGCTATTATCAAACTAAAGAATAAACATACCTCTGGTCATGACGGCATTCCCGTAAATGTCGTCAAATGTTTTAAGGAATTATTAGTCAGACCTCTTTGCTGTATTTTTAATCTATCACTCTGAACATGTAAGTTCCCAGAGGTCTGGAAAACAGCTATAATTTGCCCTATACCTACATAAAACTGGCGATACATCTATGGTTTCAAATTACAGACATATTAGTATCTTGAATACTTTTGCAAAAATATTTGAAATAGTTATGCACAATTGTATATACTCATGTGTAAAATACATTATCTCACCCAATCAGCATGGGTTTGTGCAAAAGCGATCCACTATGACTAACTTGACTTGTTTCACTGACTACACGACGCGCGTGCTAGACAATCACGGTCAAGTCGATGTAATTTATACAGATTTTGCAAAAGCGTTCGATTCAATCGATCACCAAATTATAATTAGGGAGTTAGAACTTTTTGGTTTATCTGATTCGCTCTTAAATTTCTTTTCGTCGTACTTATCTAACAGACATCAATTTGTCGCGTTTAATGGATTCATGTCTGATCCATTCATTGCATCCTCTGGGGTACCCCAGGGGTCTAATCTGGGCCCTCTTTTATTTCTCCTATTTATAAACAACATTTCGGACTCAATCTCTACACCTCATCTCCTTTTTGCTGACGATTTGAAAATATATACACAAATATCTAATATCGCCGATTGTATTTCCTTACAGCAGCAAATTAATTCGGTTTATAGTTGGTGTGAACTCAATTCCCTCAATTTAAATATACCCAAATGTAAGGTAGTGACGTACAGCAGAAAACGCAAACCCATTTTATACCAATACGCGATTAATGATACTACTTTGTCTAGATCTTCATTAGTAAAAGATCTTGGAGTTATCTTTGACTCGAAGTTACAATTTTCTGAACATGTCAAATCTGTATGTGCGTCGGCATCTAAAACATTAGGTTTTATTATAAGAAATTCAAAATCTTTTACGGATACACAGGTTTTGTTTCGCCTGTACTTTACGTTAGTGAGACCCAAATTAGAATATTGCGATATAGTTTGGTACCCGCAGTACGATGTGCAAAAACAGCTTATTGAACAAGTACAACGCAGATTCTTGAAGTACTTACGTTTCTTTTAAGCTTGATGGCGCGTATCCTGAAAGAGGCTTTCCACACCAATCTCTCCTATCCCGGTATACTGTCCAGTCGATGGAATGCCGCCGAATTGTGAACAGTGTTAAGTTTTTATTGGGCTTATTGCACAATCTTGTAGACTCTCCTAATCTCCTTGCACACCTAAACTTTTCTGTTCCTCAGCGCAACAGCAGGCTTACACTAACTTTCACTTACCGCACTCCGAGAACTAATATATTGTGTAAAGCCCCTACATTAATCATGTCTCGTAATTTTAATATGGTCTGCCAGGATTGTGATATACAATATACCTCTCTACCGGAAATACTTCGCCAACTCATTACTAAGCTCAATAATTCTTTAAGATAATTATTACATATTATTTTTATTTTTTATTTTATTTTTTCTCTTTCATTACTCCTATTACTTATATCTCTTGTATATCTCTGTTGTTCATTTGCACGTTTTAATATAATTTATATATATTTTTGTTTATTTTGCGCAATTTAATCGAATTTAATTATCTTTCAATGCACTTTTACAAATTTTGTATGTTTATAATATTAATTTACTTAAGTATACTATGTTAGTTACATTATTTTAATTTCACTCTTGTAATTGTAATTGTATTGTTGCTCTATCATTGGAATGTTTTCTGTTTGAGCAATAAAGTATTATTATTATTATTATTATTATTATTATCTTTTAATGAATTCTACATTAAATTTTTTACAAATTATTTCTATACATTTGTGCTGTAGGATCAATATACAGGGTATCTAAACTGAAAAACAATAGATTAATTAATCAAATTGTCTTTCCGCATCGTCATCTTTTTCACCAACATCGATTAGGGCTCCATTGATACATCCTTATAGGCAACTGTTACAGACAAAACGTGCAGCAGCTAATGCCTGCTTTTCGGCAACTGCACTTGCCAGAAAAACCACTCTTCATCGGCAGAAAACAGAATTCAACAATGTGTCAGGAGCAGCAGAACGATCCCAGGTCGTGATCGGTTTTAAGTTCCCGTCGACTCGTTGCTTCCAACTTCCAACTCCACATTTCAGGGAGTAGTTGGTTGCCAAGCCATTCCTGAACTTAATGGAATACTCTGTAGGTTTGATATTTGGTAGGAGGTAGGGAAGAGGGATCAGGTTTGGGATCGGTGCAAAATTGCAAAAAATCTGTATATCGATGTCTATTAAGGTCAGATTCAGTAGAGGGCGCAAAACCGCGTGTCCCCACAACATAGGTATAAATATTGCTGCAGACATTTACCTAGCTAACTCAAGTTACACAATCTAGCTTTTGAGATCTCCCTCAGAGGACATCTGGGTTCCGGCATAAAATGTTTACATTGACTTAAGACCCATATACTTGAAAGACTCGAAGGCCGCAATCAAATTCTGTAATACAAAAAAAATCCTGTTAGAAACAAATTTAATGCTAACAATGCATTTTGAATAGAACACACCTCGTTTGCAAACAGTCGATCAAAAACAAATTAAGAGATCTCAAACATTACTCACAGTTCTGTTAATAATGATCTAGTAAACTAGCCAGGACAAGAATATGCGATATTCGGCGAAACACTTCTACAGCGAATCTCGCAGATTCTTCTCAGAAACAAAAAAAAATATTAATACACCACAATATAACTAGCTTTTTGTATTAGACCAATTATTTCTGCAGTCGTAATAACACAAACTTTGTCTCCACTTCCTATTTAAGCAAAAATCACCCCCTCTTATTAAATCAACACCGTTGTTCCAGACAGCACACAAAAATTTCTCTACGCCGCCTGTTAAAACAACTGCATCACTTATCTCGCACGAGGCTATGTCAAAAACCAACTAATTCTTGTCCAATAAGAACTTTTTATCCACACCAGCTTAGATAAAACTTTTTTATTATACCTGAATCACAATCTCCGTTTTAAACACTCAAATGCGTGCGAAAAAGGGCCTTTAAAACACACGTGCTTTAAAGTTGCTAAGTAACGATACTTCAAGTGTGACTTTTGAAACTGTCATCTGGATGAAATAAAAAATCCCCTTAGGTCGCTTTCTGTAAATGCAGAACATTTCTTTGGCTTTTGTACCTATCCTTTGGTTGAAGCTTTCACAAACACGCGTAATTTAGGGTATGCTTCCAAATCTGTTCCACTTTTTAATCGCAGCATTGCTTTAAAGTTTTGAATGAATGCACCAAAATATAGAAGATTTAAATACCTTTGACATTTCCTTCATATATATGCAAGCATTATCGATGCATTTAATACTTTATGCGTAAGTAACTTCCTATCCATCCATGGAAACAACTTTTCATATTCTTTATAATAGGCTTTACTGGATTTGGATTTTACACCTACCAACGTTTGTTTAGATTTTACAACAATCGATTTAATGGGCGGTGTATTATCTTTTTCAACGGAAATCGTTTAATTCACAAAGACGATGATTTTTATAAGCAAACGTCAAGTGACATTTCCATGGCAATCGTGAAATTACGAATACCCAGCCCACTTAATTAGACATGTATTCGAGTATAACGTCAATATTAAAGTCACTAAATATAGAAAGTACGGCAATCCATTGGGCTCGTGTGTTAGAGAGAGAACGCACGATTTTTGCCCAAAAATGGCGGAAGTTACCAGATTCTAGTAACTTTAATGTTAGGGATTGTTCCACCTGTTTGGAGATATCTGTATATATTTTTATAAAACATGACAGTACTATGAAGTTAGGTTATAAAAAATTACAGCTATTCAGATTTTATTTGTCAATTTTTTTAAGTTGGCAGCGAATTTGCCCAAAAATGGCGGATGATTGCGGTACTTTCTATATCTAGTGACTTTACGTCAATATGATTTCATTGTATTTCCTATTTTTGAATTATACTGCAGGTATAATAAAAAATACTATAAGATACACGTGTATAATTGGTCTTTAAAGCACTTGCAACGTTAAAGGCACTCCGCTTTGCGTCGTGCCCTTAAACTCGTTGCGCGTGCTTTAAAGACTTGATTATACACTTGCATCTTAATAATACTATTAACTCTCGTAAAAAAATTCAATTAAATGTTCCGTTAGTTACCCATTTTAAATTTATTATATAAATTAAATACAACAAATAAAATGAAATCATGAACATTTACCGACTAAATTTACAATGAAAAAAACAAAAATGACAATTCACTAAAACTTTCCCATTCTGTGTCTATTTGAAATAAAAAATTCACAGATTTTATGAAATAACTACGAGTAAGTAAGTTACACACAGGCTGCCCTGACTGCCATTTCCGACATATTGACCAAAATTACGTTAACAACACGTATTTTTACACTATAAATTGGCTGGCACTTATCTTCGGCATTGTTTCAACTTAAATAAACGACACACACACACACATGTAGTTTTACTAGTTTACACAACAAAATAATATATAGCTGCTCTTTTTGATAAAACTGATAGTTCTAATTTATTCTCATAGTGTATAAAGTGCACGTTAAAATACACACAAAACTTGGCGTAATCCAATTTTAAAGTAGTAAACTCATAAATCGTGGATTCTAAACTTGAGCGCTATCCCATTCCCGAGGTTGTTTGTTTTATACTATAGCGCTTGGTTAATGCTGCATCCGCATGACTTCAGTCTCTTTTCTTTTTATTTGCGTCTTACATATAGGTACGCTCTGTTTGTCCGTCAATACTTCTGGTGACGCGCGATACATTACTTAACAGACAAATCCTAAAACGCTCTCTTATTGGATGTCGCTATCTGCCCATTTTCGGTGTTAGTTGTTAGTCGGTATAGTCAATCCTGTCAAATGTGAAGAATTCCTATATAAAAATAAAATCGTTTAAAAGTTCTAATTAAAGGTAAAGCTAATACTAGCGAAAAGTTACGTTATTTAGCCCTTACCTTGCTCCTCCTGATAAATTTACTATATAAACACTGTCGTTAATATCAAGTTAAGTAAATTTGAACACTTCAGAACCCCTTTAAGCAACCGATGTTTCCTCTTATTAATCTATGATTTTGTTTCAGCTTTTAACAAAACAATGAATCACCTCCATAAATATGGTAAAAGTCTAAAGGAGTTCAATTACAACAATAAAGAAATAGCCGACGACATCTATTCCGCAATCAACTCTACACAGTTTTTGGGAATATCGGTAAGTCACCACCGTTTAGGTACTAATACTCATCACTACAACGACTTTACTTGCAGGGTTTTGTGGCGTTTAGCTCTCAAGGGGATCGTATAGCTTTAACACAAATAGAACAAGTCATTAATGGTAACTACGTAGTTTTAGGGTATTATGATACGCAGGCTGACAATCTCACTTGGTTTGATAAAGAAGTATGGACAGGTAATGTTATGACTGCATCACTACCGGAATCTTACGACTGTGTTTTTCAGGTATAAAAGTGCCTCAAGATAGAACGATCATAAGAAAAGTTTTACGAACAGTTTCATTGCCTTTGTTTATATGTATGTGTGTGATTTCTAGTGTGGGAATTCTAATTTCAATTTCGCTTATCATTTTTAATATATGGAACGGACATAGGAGGTACGAAAGCGCCCCTCTAATCCTACGCAGGTTTTCTAAACGCACATTTGCAGAGTAATTCAGTCATCACATCCTGTATGCAATACGATCATGCTATTTGGCGTTATTGTATGCCTAACCAGCGTTTTTCTTCTGGGACTGGATGGAAACTTTGTACCACCGCATGTCTACCCGAGTGTATGCCAAGCGAGAGCTTGGTCGTTAACCATCGGTTTCACACTTGCATATGGTGCAATGTTCAGCAAGGTATGGCGTGTACATCGACTTACCACAAAAGCGAAAAGCGATCCTAAAGTGCGAATGGTACGTAAAAGTCTCGACGTTTCGTGCACCTCAAGACTATTCTTTTAGAAAAAAGTGCAACCGTGGAAACTGTACTCGATGGTTTCCGGACTTTTAGTTGTAGACTTTGTTATACTATTAGTATGGCAGTTACAAGATCCCTTGCAGAGGCGAATAGAGCCATTCCCTTTAGAAAACCCCGCCTCCTTGTCGGATGACTCGAAGATTCGTCCGGAATTAGAGCACTGTGCCAGTCACCACAACACAGTATGGCTGGGTATAGTTTACGGATACAAAGGACTTATCCTCGTAAGAACAACGTAAATCCGTCCTTCACACAATTACGTCGATTGTTGCAGGTTTTTGGTTTATTTCTGGCATACGAAACTCGGTCGCTTAAAGTGAAACAAATAAATGATTCCAGATACGTTGGAATGAGTATATATAATGTAGTTGTCTTATGTTTAGTAACGGGGCCGATCATATTAGTAATTGGTAGTCAACAAGATGCCAGTTTTGCCTTTGTGGCACTCGCCATAATTTTTTGTTGTTTCTTAAGTATGGCTCTTATTTTTGTACCAAAGGTAAGTAAATCTGTTTACCTTAAGAACCTTCATTACCCATTATTTGTTATCAGGTTATTGAAGTCATAAGGCATCCACGTGATAAAGCCGAAAGTAAATACAATCCAGACGCCGGTGTCTCAAAGGAAGAAGAGGAGCGTTATCAAAAATTAATTAACGAAAATGAAGATCTACAACGACTTATAGCGCAGGTAATACTTCGCCCAATGGTTTCTTATTGTTAGAAATTCTTCTCGGTCATCTGAAGTGAGTATCCGCGCTTTTCTGTTTTGTGCTATCAGTATACGGACCATGTATAGTTCGAACCACTCACTTTAGCACTTGTTTGATAACTCTTGAATTTTTTTCTTTGTCTAATGACTCGCCAATAATATGGGGGCAATCCTCCTTAAATGCACCTTTTTTTTCTGGGAATACGTCGACTGATTTTCTACTCACCTATATCAAGATATTTACATTTATTTTTGAGCGATGTTTCTAAGGGCAATCGACAAGGCACTCCCGAGTATTCTACCGTCCTTTGAAAACCGTTCAGGGCTTATTAGAGCTTTTAAATCCCGCCTGAAATGGCCTATCGTGTTTGCCAGAGTTCCCTACTTGACTCCTCGAGCCTTTCCAAAAGCCGTCTAGAGCGTTGTAGGTCTCTTCTGTGACTGCGCGAGTCAATACCACCCTCCAGGACGCACAACACTACAACATAAGCATTAGAATGCTCATCACGGATTTGCTCAGGCGCCACCAGAAAGATTTACAACCTTGCGCACTGGTCTTGGGTTTTGGAAAAATTGGTAGACACGGGCAGTAAGTTGAAGAAACGACGAACGGATCGGCGGACGGCGACGTCCAGGAAAACAACTAATACAAAATTACGGCACACGGACAAGGCAAACGATTTCTGAAGCGGTAGCGGAAGCACAAGTTAATTAGCGGTATCTACAGGAAAAAAGAATGCAGGAAAGCAACCCAAGACCCCTTTATAATTAGCGGAAAGGAACGCATCAAACATTTACCTTGATATCCAAACGGTATGGTAGATCAGAAAATTACTAAAGATTAAATGCACACTATGCGCTATGCAAGACGACCAAATACCGAAAGATACATCTAAATCATGTTGTTACCTTATATAAAATACCCAAAAAATCTGGAAATGGACCCCGACCTTCCAGTCGGGTACTTGGGCGTTAATGTCTAAAAATTAAATATTCTTTAATTTATTAATTTCCAGTCTCGCGAGCATCCCAAAAATCTGGGACATATCTCAAAATCTATATTAATTAATCGCGGTTCTAATGACACTAGGAAAAATCTAAGTAAACGATGTTTGCTGCAAGACAATTAATTAACTACGGTTAATTATACTCACTTAATTGGCCGGATTAAAATTCTAAAATTCGGTAGCCCAGCACGACCTTGCAGTTTTAATGCTCATTTTTGCTTAACATTGGAAAACTAAAATTGGTTATTAATGAATGGAAGGGAACTAAAATCATATATTATTAATTTAGTTTCATCTTCCAAATGACGAGAGCTTTCGGAGGCTGCAATAATAATTAAAATATCTCTACGGGAACAATTAGAAAACTGCACAATTAGGTATGGCATCTCGGGTTCCTTATCGGCGGCAAAAACGGCGCTACACATTAACACAATTGCTTTTACCGACTACAGAAGCTACAGTTTCTCGTAATGAAGTGCCCCAAATTAGTATTACGTCTTGATACCGTGCGTTCATGTACCGGGAGGTCATCAAAGCTGGTAGATCTCACTGCGGAAAATGGGTGCTTCCTTACATTCCATGCTTTCTAGAGTCTTTTAATAAGGTACTTTGGTAGCTTTATACGTATAGGTTCTATAGAGCTAGACAACCTCATAAAACTTTGCAAAGCTCTTAGAAAACTTCAGCGATGGCCTACAGCGCTCTAGAACTGTGCTGAAAAGGGTAATTATACAGCCCTTAAATCCTGTATAAAGATTCTCAAAGCCTTTTTATTCTTTCAGCACCCCTTAAATCTTCTAAGACTGATCAGGCCCTTTCTCAAGTTTTCTAGAGCCTTCGATGTGTTTTAGGATAATTATTTTGATAGGTGTTCTCTTTAGCCTTGAGTGCCTTTATGTGTAACTTCAAAGATTTTGAAACCATCTTGCCATTGCTTGAAAAGTTCTTGAAAGGTACCTCCTTAAAACGAGTGTTAGCTCTCACAAAACACAACGCGAGGGTCTGGAACGTACACAAAAAGTTTTCAAACACTTTCAGTTACCCTGTTCATTTAAATTAGAAACTCTGCTCAGCTTTCTGAAGTGAGCAATTCGCATTTTGCGTTGAAGCCGCGCGGAAAAGCTTCAAAAATCTAAGTAAGTATACTTATTTTTATACTCGTACCTAAGAGCATATTATATTATTTTTTGTGCCTCTTCTAGAGATTCCCAATGAGGCCTTATTGCAGGGATCTTTGATAGTTTTCTAAGCCCCTTAAGAACATGTATAAGAGCTTGGAAAGAAGCTCTGTAAGAAGCTTCCATTCAACATTTTTGTTTTGTCCAACACTTCCAGAGACTTCTTAGGGTATTTTATCAAACTTTTCAGAAGAGTTGTGTGCGAATTGAAGGGTCGAAAAAGTTCTGCAAATTTTGGGTAGGGCTCTGCAAAGGGCCTTAAGAACTCCTAGAATGTCATACAAGTCATTAGAAGTCGATCAGGCAAGACGTTACAGAGTCTCCAAAAAGTCTAGAAGCTTTTGGCATTTGTTTTGAGAAAATTATTAATGCGCTTCCAATTCCGGAAAGTGGTCCTTACTTCGAACCTTTGAGGATTTTCCGACGTTTTCAAGGCCAGTTTAATTTTTATATCCAAAAAAGATCTAAGAGCTTTAAAGAGGTATGCAGGTATTTTATTACCTTTTTAACAATATCTCTGATATTTTGAATAAGGAATTTCAAGGTCCTTCTAATGTCCCCTTCGCTCTGAAAATGACGTCGAAAGCAGGGCGCAGGGAAACTAGAAACTCTTAGATACCTAAAGGGCTTCGGAGTTTTCTATAATCGTTACAGTCCTTATTTCCAGATTAGAATCTCCGAAAACGACGTGCCGCTATTGAATAAGTTTGAAAGTAGTGAATTAATGAATGGCTATAAGTGAAAATTAGAGCAAAAGTATGAATGTTGTATGTTCTTCATTTACAGAAAGAAGAAAAAATTAAATTGCTAAAAGATCGGTTACAAGAAAAAGAATCGGAGAAAGGCGGTGTTTATTTAGCGCCACCGATTTTAACGCAAGGTAAGGATACCATCATCGTACCTGACTTCATAACGGATGCAGGAACATCTGATTCGGCATTTGGTGGTATATCTTTTTATACACGTTCGTCAAGAGCCAGTCAGTCTGACATTGAATTTAGCGAGAGCTACTTGTAAATTACCTTTTTTTTATTATACCAATTACCTCCTCACATTATTACCTATGGTCAATTTCTCCTCGGCACACATATCTCATTTAACAATAATAAATTAAACTCAGTTTCATTAATCGCATATTTTTGATACCTCAAATTTGCATGTATAACCGTAGATCCTAGTTCATATTTTTGATACCCTTTTCAATCTCGTGTATGTATAGTCAATATGCATCTAAGATCACCATTGCTAGATCTGTGTATTAAATAATCACACTCGCTTCTCTAGTCTAGTTTTGGCTTCGCTAATTTATGTCACCTAACTGGCTTCTTTAATGTTTATGTACTCACAATGTAATGAAATCTCGTTATAACATAAATGTACCCCTTTCCAAGTTTTCTTAAAAGAAAGATGATCTTGAGCTCCCAATTAACGCTCTAATTTACGATATTATATCTTTATGTTGTAACGAGATGAGAGGATTAGTGGTAATTGGGAGTAATCGAGATTCTGTTTCTTTCGACAGATACACAAGATGAGCATATATAGTCAACGCTGTTCAGTTTACACGCACATTTTCGAAGCAAAGGACTATTTTTGTTTGGTGGGTATTTATCTGCGGGGTGTTTGTAGTTTTTACGTTTTTATCTAAGTGAATATGTGGATTTTACACAATTAGTGACACCCTGTCGATGTAGATGTAGTGAAACCCCCATTGTTATTATATAATGCGACTTTACTTATTTGCGATATCTTCCGAAGCACATTATTCTTCTTATATAAGACGCTTCGGTGATGTCTAGTTATTATTTATGTAATAAAACGAATTTTATAGACTGTTTAAGACTTAAAGGTGACGCTTTCAGAAGGTATTGCAAAATTTGTTGGACCGACTTTCGGTTACTGAAAGTTTTACCGAGCATTACACACCGTGCTTTACGAATATCATCTTAAGAATAGTTCAAAATTGGTTACAAATGACTGAATCTGAATATAAAATGGTGATGTATGCGTTTGCCAAAATGGTGGCAAGTTTAAGTCAATTCCATACTAATATTTAGTCAGGGATTATAATTTTGATGTTGTTATTTGTAGATTTTGTTTATTTATAATATAGTTTATAGAAAAATTATTTCTAGTTAAAAGAAATTTACGAAAATGTTAATTGTTACATAAATGGTATAGTCATTTAGAGGTTATAGAAAAAATCAATGGTTAGTGACAAAAAAAAATGCTGTTGTGATAGTCCTAACGTCGCATCAATGTATAATATCATAAAATAGCTCGGATATTTTTTCATTTATTTACATTTGGTTTGTGCTATATGTTAAAATACAAAATTGTGAGCTAAGTAACTTAGCGTAATACCTTATAGTGAGAGAAGTCGCTCAATGTGTGTAGTCACAAATTAAAAATGTCACAAAATTTCTTTTGACGTTATTTTCGACCCATATATTGGAATTTTGCATGTGCATCACTCATCAATACTGTCATCGTCATTGTTGAAAACTGGCACATTGCAAGAATCCGTTTTCTATTGCGGCTACTGCATTTTTCTAATTACCTAGTTTTTCAATAGTATACTATTCTTTGTTTAGCACAATAAAAACGATTCTAAATGTTGTGATAGAGGAGTAGTTAAGTTAGATTGGAAAACTGCAGTCGCTCTGTGTGGCTGTATTTTATAAGGACGAATAACTTTCGAAATGTACTGTATAACTTCGTAGCAATTCTAAATTAATGACTCTTCTGTTACTAACTAAAGCTTGACTTGTCAATTTTAGTTGGTGACAGAAACAATTAAAATGGGTTAGTGATTTCTACGGAGCGTTCCGTTACGGACGCTTAAAGTACTTAGATTTTAAGTATTTTTTGCTAAGAATCTCTTACAATTCTGTGTTAAAACGAGATTTCACTCAAATTTTTGGACAACCTTCAAATGAAATTCTGCCCCACAACCATAAATAAGTGTTACACCCATTCCGTACGTGTAACTCGGTGTTGTGGTCCACAATCGGAACCCAAAGCGCCCAAATATTTCTGTTTGAATAGGGCCTAAATAACATCTAAACTCAATGAATGGAAACTAATTTGTGATTTTTTTCTTAAAAACTTATTCATGTTATCCTAGCAATATTTGTTATGTATTTATGTCTTAGCTGTTGAATTTTTCTAAAAGGAATGTTTCATACTTAACGTAAATTTTTTTAAATGTTAACTTCACAGCGACGGTCGCCATTTCACTCGAATAGTTGTTATATATACACAAAATATTACACAAAGAACTTTCTTATCTCACTCAACTGACGACCATCGCTGCGACGAGATGAAAACGAGTATGTCATTAAACAATTTTAGATACCTATTGTGCAATGAGAAAAGTAATGCATCGTCATACCACATTACGGCTCAAAATGTGGTACGATTGGACGCAATTAGCTAATTCACTTTGTGTTAGAACAAAAAGAAAAATGATATACATACCTACCTTATGTAAAGTATGGTACCTAAATAAGTATTGATAGTACCTATAAATCGCAGTTTTACTGTCAGAATATGTGTTCAAAACCCAATCACCCCTAATCTTATGTAAAAATAAATTTAAATGTAAATAATCTTTTTATATTGTATTACTTAAAGTTGCGATTTGGATCTTTGAGAGAGTGGGTTGGGAATCTTTCTACCATTTAATATTTATGTACATTCGGTGGTAGATGGCTCTTGTAACAGTTCCAAATAAGCATGTTTGACGCGACAAACTCGAGATACACCATATGGAAGGCTAGGTGCAAAACAATCGTCGGGGCTCTCGTCGTTATAGAAGGTAACATTCATTTTGGTTTTTTATTTCAATGAGTTGATATTTGGTAGGGACATAGATAAAAAGTCAAAAGATTTACAGAAACAGAACAATTGACAAAATTTAAACTTATAATGTTAAAATCTCTCCTCTAGTCTCTCCTCGTATATTTCCGGCATCTGCCATAAAGAGAAATCCCAATATTGGACTTTACATTTTTTTTATAACGCCTGAAATAAATCTTAGCCACCAACAGAAAAAATCTGGTATGAAAACTCCATCCGGGTCGCACAATGGATTTGAATCAATACACAATTAATTGATTACCATGATTACCAGAAATTTATTCTGGAAAAAAAATAACAAAATCCCTGAAAGAAACAAAACCTTACAAAGCTTCTTTGGACTAATTACCCCGCACATAGGCGGACGTCAATTAAAATAAGAAGTCACATTACAATTTTCCAAGGTGAAAATGCACTTGCCTATATTTTGGACAGGAAAAATAAATTGCTTGAAATCGACCGGGGAAAAAAACATTTTCTTATAGTTTTTGGCTCGGTTTTTGGCCTGTAGAATCCATAACTGCCAACAGTTTGAAAATTGGTTTTTTACCTATAGCATTTGTTTCAGAAATCCAATCGATAAAATACGAGACGTTGTGGAATCTACGAAGTTAAATTAATAGGAGAAAGTGGTTTTCCGAACATTTTTGGGGTAGTCAACATTTTTTCTTAATAATTGAAATAATCTGGTCGTATAATGTTTGCGATATTAGACCTCGTACTAGACGCACCAAAACTGACACAAAAACCATTCGCTGACAGCTTCAAGAAACTTCACTTATTCTTGATAACACTGAACTTTATGACGAAATCTGGCGTGTTGAATTAGATGACAGATTTTCGGTAGCTATCCGAACGGAAGTAAGACTTTTTATATGAAGAGAACCTTAAAACAAATGGTCTAGCTGTGCGCAACTACTGCTTCTTTTTTTAACATTACAAATCTTGCACTTCTTAAACCACTTGCTTCTGGACAGATTTATTGTAAAGAATGAACGACTTCAAGTAAACTAATAGCGCTAGAGTACCCGAGATTTAGCCTAAACAAATTTACACCCTCTTAAACCGTCGCGAAACTCAGTCTGGTTTGCTCGTTGTGTCTAGTATTTAAAGAAACACCACTTCCACTACCAAATAATCTCCTTCTTTATGAAATTTCCAAAAAATTGACAATCAAGGCGAATCCGCCAAACGTCCCCACTATCCACCGACATGACACACGCATCAGTACAACCAAATCAAAAAAAAAAGATGCAAATTAGGCTGGATGAGTCTTACGTCCCTAAATTGAACAATTGCAATAGCCATAAAATTTAAACAAAAATTACGTATTTACAAACAAAGGAAAATAACATCTGCATAACGTTGTTACATAACAATAAATAGATATTGTAGACACTTGGCCAAGTGGCTGCACCTGTTTTTCTATCAACATTGCGGTTATATGATTAGGTATGTAATCAGTTCATTTGCGAATGAATCGCCAGTAAGTGCGGTTGTATGTGCTCCGTTCGTATGCATCAACGTGTTTATATTCGACGTGAAAATGGTGAGTTTTGATTACCTTTATGAAAACACGGGTGGGCCTTTTCCTTGCAAATATAAAAATCAAAATATGCTCGGACACGCAATCCTTAGTTTTGGAGGAGTGAGGGCACAATTTGGAATACCTTAAACAGGAATTAATTTGACCTCTAGTGCTCAGTGAATTTTGAATTCCACTTCGTGTTTAAATGTAACTAAATGGAATTTAAACGTATGATTTGTTTAAGTACCTACCAATCCATTACTATAACCTGCATAGGAAGATGGGCGTTTGGATTTTAATACCACATGGGATCAAGTGTTAACTCCCTTACCAAATTTAGAAAGTAGCATATGGAGTGGTATGCTACCTCACTTAATTCAATTTTCTTACCTACCCTTAGTTTTGATTCCCCTGCACTGGTACAATAAAAAACAATCATCTTAAATTATCAGGGTTTCAGTTAATAAGTGGTTTTTCGGTGACTAGCCAAATTTTTTAGGTGTTTGTTACAGACAAAATTCTGTTAGTTTATCTTTAGTCGCACTTTTCATTAATTTTCTTGTTTCTTTATTTCCCATCAAATCGGGTGATGTAAACTTAAAAACAGCTAAATCATCAGCAGTCCAAACTAGTACTCAAGGTTTTGACGGGAAATATTTTTTATTTCAAAAACGCAGTAATTTAGACTAACATTAAAATAAACACTAAGGACAAATCCTGCATCGATTGGCACTCAACAATCTCGTTGTGAGCCGTTGTGAGTAGAAAGCTGAGGAATTTTTGCATTGCGGCACAATGTAAATGTTTCTGAAGTTGTGAATAGTTGTACAGGTCACCAGCAAATAATTATCAACTTAATGCTTGCTTGCAATCTTGATCGATGAACTGATTTTACGTTATTTTACAAAAGCATATGACCAACTTTTGCTGTTGAATTTAAGAATAGCCAAGTTCAACCAAGACAAAAGCACAAGAAATTTTATTTAGGTACCTACGTAAAATAATAATGTTGTTAAAATAAAAGAAAATAAGTTTCAGTGCACAGTTCTCGTGACTTAAGTAATTGTAGTTTTATTTATTGTAATGCTAATCATTATCCCTAGAACTAACTGGCGATCAAAGATGAGTTGCTGTCGAGTCGCCTTTGGTTCAGTACGATTTCCCATGTAAACAATAAGTTCAAATGTGACTCGACAGCAACTCATTTTGGATCGCATAGTACCATCATTTTAAAAATGGATCTGTTTTTGGACAATTTGAGTTAACTCCATCAGACCATTGCGTGGTTCAACTTTTTTATTTAAAAAAACCGATTTCCTGCAGTAGTTCGTATAAGGAATATAAGGATGGCTTGCCACAGTCAAACATTTATTTTGCTTTAATCCAACGTACCTTGTCCCTCTTGAAACAAATTTAAATCTAACTATTTGCATATACATGTGATATATTACACCCCGGATAGACTATTACTCAATGAATATGTCCATCGAACCATCGAAGTATTTAAATCTGCCACAATAAACTAAACTTAATCACAATTAGTGATTCCCTGGTTACGGTTCAAGATGTTGAATTAAAGAGGCAAAGAGTTCTTTCGATTTACTATTCAAACGTTTTGGAATTGTGGTGGGAAAAACCGAAGTGAAGTGTCTAAATAATGTCAACAAATAACGTTTGGCAATCTTGAAAAAATACATCAATTAATTTGGATATTGCTGCTTTGTCTTCACCGAAAATAATTCTCTGTTACCGACACTATACCAGTTGACAAAATCAACTTTTTCTTCAGTTGAATACATCGCACAAGAACGAAAATAAAAATACAGAAGCCAAAGCCACAATACCTATTCAAAGTAATTATTACGACAGCCAGATCTTTATTTACTTAAAGTTTGGTTTGGTTGCATCAAATTAGCCGCCCTCCAGGAGAGATTTTGTAATTTCGAAGTAGACATAGGGAAAAACAATACACGTAAATCCCTATGTCGACTTCTTAATAGATATAACGGTATAAAGATAATTACTGTAGGCATGTGGTTATTAAAAATTTTTGCAACAAGCGACAGCGACAAATCGATAATTTAAAGTAAAATTGAAAAGTTAGTAGTGTTGGTAGTTCACAATGGCCCCATCTCGCAATCAAAAATATGCCTCTGTAAAACTTTGCATAAATCCCCTTGGTAAAATTTGTCATTGGTTAATAAACATTTCATTTTATTTTGTTCTTCATCTACAAATGACCTTACTTTATAGTCCTATTTTATTTCCGTTCTAATTGTCATTCTCATAATTTACGTTCTCTGATGATGATTTTCCATTTGTCATTTTTCTTCTATTACTAATTCTTTAAGTTAATAATGGCAATTATAAAAGTCTGGCCCTGGTGGTTGAAATAATACAAACTGTGAAGGGAAAATTAAAACTGTTTAAAACAATTCACGTAACATTTTATGAAAACATCAATAAACATTTTTTAACAATCGTAACAGTCTATGACAAAAAATTAGATCTTTCATTTCCCTCTATACGAGATTTGTTCAAAATGGCTCGGAGGCAACCATCCATCCAATCTTCTCCTAATCGACTCCCGGACTCTTTCAAAAACAATAGGGACGTTTCTTATTGAGTTACACTCGGTCATTATCTGATCTTTTAAATCGTCCACTGCGCTAGTATGAACTAATGCGGTTTAATAGCCCCATAGGGCATAGGAAATAATCCAGGGGGTTTAAGTCCGGGGATTGAGCAGGACATAAGTGAAGTCCACCTCGACCTCGTCCTCGACCAATCTAGCGTATGTTGCTGTTAAAATTTATCGAGAAACTACACTAAAATGAGCTGGTGCACCATCATGCGTAACCACATATTTCCTTTCTTGCAGCCAATGGTACATCCTCCAGAAACTCAGATAGTGTTTCTTCTAAAAAGTTGCTGTATACTTCGGCGGTAAGTCTATCTGGTCCAATTAGGCAGTCATTCGCTTCAGTGTTGTAGTTTCTCCAAGATGATAAATACCATGAAAGATTTTTCTATCGCTAACGATATACGCTTAAAAAAATAGCCAAACGTCAATCAATCTTACCAAACTTGACAAAATACAAACAAAAACGAATAAACTAATAAGTCAAAGAAATTGGGGAATGTTGGTAAAGGAAGCGTTCAGTAGGTAACAAAGCATAGGTACCCGTTGCCAAAGGCGCACTTAAACGAACAACTTTGTTC